TTGGTCTTTTTGAGACAGGGTCTCCCTGTAGCCCCAGCTGTCCTGGAACTCACTATGTAGACCAGGTTGGCCTTGAACTCACAGAGATCTGCCTGCCTCTGCCTCCCAAGTGCTGGGATTAAAGGCGTGTACCACCATGCCCAGCTGTGTCTGAGATATTTTATGTATAGAAAGAAATCTTCCAAAATAAAAGGTGCTACATTTTTTTTGACTTTTTGTTTTGTTTTTGATGTGTGCTGGGGATTGAACACAGGGCCTTGCACATACTAGGTAAGCACTCTACCACTAAGGTACATCTCAACACCTCATGTAATTTTTAAGAGGGAGTAGAGGCAATGTCAGGTATAGGAAGAGGTCAGGTTGAGGTCTGGAAAGTATTCTTTAGATTTCACAGAGGCACTGAGCAGTTGCCCTGGAGTGTGGGCAGTGGGACATTGTTCAGAACTGCAAGTGAAAAGGGAGAGGGCAGGAGACCAGGCACGGTCAGGTCAGTCCCTCCAGAGTAAGAACAGGCTGAGGAACAAACCTTAAATGATGTTCTATGCTAAGATTCTCCAGGGGAATGTGAGGGCTCTTTAGGGGAGCCCTCACATTCCCTTCCTTCCTCACCTCCAATTTTACCTCTAAGGAAGAGCTTAGTGCTACTGACTGGTCAAGGATAAGGACATGGATAGGGCTTTGTTGTCTAGGAAGGGACCTGCTCTCTTCTTGCTGGCTGGGGACTCTATTGGGCCTTCACTGGTCTTTGTAACTATATAGTCTTGAGTGAGAATTTAGGAGAAAAGAGTAGTCTACTTGGCCACATGAACTAAGAAAGGAGTTCTTCATATGGATTAAACCAAACCACTGGATGTGCCCTTGGAGGCTTATGGTCAAGGCCTCAGCTCAATAGCATTGGTGCTGGCTGTGGTCTTCGCTCCAGGGAGGGGGAGGGCTACCAGAGTAGAAGGTTTGGGTAGTCCCAAGTTTCCTGGCCAAATGTTATCATCCCTTTAACAGCTCTTTTCTTAAATCTGACCATAATCTTATACAATAGTACCGTTTCTCTATTTAGTTGACAAAGAAACTAAAGCACAAACAAGTTAAGTAACCTGTGCAAGATCACAGGTAGTAAGAAGGTAAGTATGGGGTCTGAGACCCTATCTGACCCTAATGCCCCAGCTCTTCTCCACCAGGCTATGGAATAGCTCAGAAACTTGACATAGAAGCAGACCTATGTGGAAGAAGTCCCTAAGGTAAAGGAAGGGGGAAATTGGACATAGGGAGAAAGGTTATCTTGAACAGAAAAAGAACAATTAGAGAGGAGGCTAAGTTACGATGAAAGACATGGGGAATTACAAGAGCCATCCTGGGGGGTGGTTCTGTTGTTTCTAGGAGCTTTCCCACCAGACCTAGTAGTGCTCTATGATAATAATCTCTCTAATATCTGCAGTGCATCTCTTCTGTAATCTCATGGCACCACAGTTGGTCCTGCTCTGAGTGCCCATTCCTTCAGTAGAGCTCCCTCCATCTTAAGATTTATTTACTTTTATTTTATGTGTATGTGTGAGCACCTGCATGTATGTATGTACACTCATGCATGCCTAGGGCCCACAGAAGCCAGAAGAGAGCATCAGATCCCCTGGAGCTGGATGCTTATAAGAGCAGCAAGTGCTCTTATCTGCTGCACCACCTTTCCAGCCCCTAGACTAGAGCTTTTTGAGGAGAGGAACCATCCTGTATGTCACTGCTGCAGGCCCAGCCCCATCAAGCAGCAGGTTCTGAATCAATATTTCCTTTCAAAAGTGGGAGACAAGGAAAGGCGGGAGAGGGAGAAATGATGGAGTGGGTGGGAGAATCCCCAACATAGAACTTCTTTTTTAAAGTGTTTATTTATTTGTGTGTACATGCGTGTGCACACTCATGTGCCATGGAGGTCAGAGGCCAAGTTGTGGTAGTTGGTTCTGTCCTTCCACCATGGGCTCTAGGGATCAAATTCAGGTTGTCAGACTTGGGAGCAAGCACTTTTACTTGCTAAGTCATCTTATCAGCACCCCCTGTGCCCCAGTATGGAACGTCTAAGGATTCAGTCTTATCTTGAAGTATAGGGAGACAACTTGGAAGAATGACGTGTTTAATGTAGGTCAGGGTTCCCAACATACCTTGACCTTTGATCCCAAAAGGTGGCACAAACTCCCGGATCCTAGCCCACTTGCGAAAGGAGTCATCCAGGAACATGGGTGCTGGCTTGGAGAACCTGGAATACAGCAACAATGCAATAGGCTGCAGTACCCGCTGGCTCTTCTGTACATGGCCTTGGCAATGGGTCTGTGGAAGTCACCCTCCACATTCCAGATCACCCTCCCTATCCCAGCTTGCTAAGTGGGTAGCTGCTGGTGTTGCTGAGTGGAACTTGAGTCTGAGGGAGCAGGCTTGGTCAGTCTTTATTTGGCCAGTTGTAGGAGTGGAGGGACAAGATATGCCCAGCAAGGATTAATGTCTGAGAGAGAGAGAGAGAGATGGAAGTTCTCTGGAAGGTTATCCATGCATCTATCTCCAGTCACACAGCCCACTGTGTTCCTGCAGTCTGGGAACACAGGCATAAGACGCTGTCTAGTGGAGCACAAAAGTATCCAAAAATACAGCCACTGTAAGGAGACAGAATTTTGGAGAAGATTCTTGGAGGCAGACCACCCAGGGTGGGAAAGACGGCAAATTTATGATGAGAGGGCAAAGTGGGGTAAAAGTACTAGAGGCAGAAGTTTGATAGAGAAGAAAATGGAAAAGCAGAATCCTATTATTAGGATGCAGGGCTGAGAGGAGATCAGACCAGCAGGAACTGGAGTATACTTGTTGGTGGAGAGATTGGAAGAGGGAACCTAAGTTCTTGTGGAGATAGGGAAGGGACTCAGGGTTTAAAGAGAGATTCATTCAGGCCCGTAGGGAAGATGGGAAGGAAAGGAGAGAGAAGGGGTGAAGGGATGCTGAGTTGGGGTTAGGAAAAGGCAAAATGTCCCTGCTCTTGGCAGGGCAGGCTGCAGCTTGGGGATGGCAGCACAGCTCAGGAGGAATGAGGGGAAGTGAGGGACAGTGGGCAATGACACAGGATGAGTCAAGCTCTTTGGAGATCCCAGGAGAACATTTCACATGGAAGCATCCTGGATTGAGACCGTTTTCAGGCTGGCAGTATGCTGGAGGTGGCCAGCATACTGACTGTGCTGAGAATCTTGCTGTGGGTCCTCCTGATCAAGAATGACCATGTATAGGCCTAGGCCTCACAGGCTATGTGTCTTTGATTTGACTGAACCCCATTCAGTTTACTGAGTAGCAAGCACCCTGCCTCCCCTGTTCAGAAGCTAGAACTGACCCTCCCAGCATACAGTAACCTTAAACACTCACTTCTCATCTCTATCATCACTAACATACTAATCATCCCAGGAGGAAAAGCTCAGTAATCGCTCAGAGGTCTAATATTATTAGTGACTTTGACATGAACTTGAAAGAGGTGAAAACCCTTTAGTCCCACTCCCTTCTCCATCACTTGTTAGGATGATGTCCACCCTTAAAACAACAAAGCTAAAGTATTAGCTTCTGCTAATGCTCTCCTTCCCAGAAGTGGAGTCAGCATGCTTGTCTCTGAGCAAGTTTAATGCCTAACATATAGGATGCAAGTATATTGCTATCATATTTGAGGCTGAACCATAAGCACTAAGAATTGTGGCCAAGTCAGGATGGAGCTCACAGGGTTTTTGTAACATTTCAGAGTCAAGCTTGGACAGGATTTTATCTGCTTCCCAGCATATCTAGATGCCATATGCTAATAAAATCTCCTCGGCTTTGGCCAAGTGACCCTGGCAGGCTTTTCCCTTTGCTTCCCCCTTCTCCTTCCACATTATTAGAAAGTTTATTATATTAATTTATACTTTTAAGAACATCTTTTTTTTTTTTTTTTTTGGAAACAGGGTCTCCCTGCCCCCCGGCTGTCCGGAAACTCACTATGTAGCCTAGGCTGGCCTTGAACTCACAGAGACCCGCCTGCCTCTACTTCCCGAGTGCTGGGATTAAAGGCGTGTGCCACCACGCCTGGCAGAGCATCTGATTTTTAATATTTAATTTTTATTTAACTATATATATATATATATATTAATTATATGTCTGCGGGTCCGTACGTATGAGTGCAATGTTGAAGTTACAGGCTGCTGTGAGCTACCCAAGGTAGTTTCTGGGACTCGAATGTGGGTCCTCTGGAAGAGTAGTACAGGCTCTTAACCACTGAGCCATCTCTCTAGCCCAAAAACATATTATTATTTTTTTTAAAAAAACAAAAAACATTTTTTTTCCTATGTGATCTATTTTTTTCTTTTGTTTTGTCTGTGAGTGCTGAAAGTTTAATAATGGAAGAAAAGCTCTGTGTGTAGTGTGTGTGCACACGTGTGCATGTGTGGAGGCGAGATGTTGACACTGGGTGTCTTCCTCCATCACTCTATATTTTTTACACAGGGTCTCTCACCCAACCTGAAGCTCACTGATTCAGATAGACTGGCTAGCCAGTGAGCTGCAGAGATCTGCCTGTCTCCACCTCCCCAGCACTGGGATGACAGGCACGGTGGGATGACAGGTATGCTGTGCCAGTGTTCTGGGAATACAAAGTCAGGTCCTCATGCTTGCACAACACTTTGCCAACTGACCCATTCTCTTTAGCCCATAGAATACCTTGCATTTTGATGTCCTTTTGTGTATATCCTGTAATATGTGTTAATTCTGGACAACATTTAAGTAAGTATACATAATCCTGCAACTCAAATACAATTATCCTTTCAGCATACATCAAAACTGATGCTCTTGGGGCTGGAGAGATGGCTCAGTGGTTAAGAGCATTGGCTGCTCTTGCAGAGACCCTATGTTCAATTCCCAGCACCCACGTGGCAGCTAATAACCATTCATAACTCCAGTCCCAGGGTACCCGACACTCTCTTCTGACCTGAGGGCATTGCATAACACATGTACACTTACATACATGCAGGCAAAACACTCATACACATAAAACAAAAATAAATATAATAAAAACTGATGTTCCCTTTCCCATATTATTTTGTAGACTGCATTACAGACTGGCTTAATATACAGAGACTGGGTCCAACCACAAAACCCAGAAGTTGCTGCTAATGTGACATCGTATCAGCCCTCAAAATTCAGTGTAGAAAGATGGACAAACGAAAATGTGGTCAAGAAAAGTGGGAGTTGCCAAATTAGTAAGGGTCAAAAAAAGTTCATACAACAGATCATGGAAAAATGCATTAAATGGGCCTGATAAGGTCTCATAAAACCCGTGTGTCTAGCGTGTAACCTAGTCCTTCTTACTTTTATGATGTTTTCAAACACTTGCCACTTCGCCCCATTCTTTATTGGGCCTTCATGTTTTAGATGCTCACTCTGCAGCTTCTTTTTATATCCCTTCAAAACCTGAGCTGGCCTCCTCTGCTGTTTCTTGCTGCTGGGTGGGTACACCTCTTTACAAACAGTTCTCTTTCTTTTCTCCTGTGTATATACTTTTAAAACTTAAAGAAAAATTTTTTGCATGCAGTGCTGTGAAATGAAACCAGGTCTTAATGCTTGCTGGACACTAGCTCTATCAACACCCGCAGTCTTCTTTTCTTTTTTACTTTTTTTTCACATTATTTTGCGTGTGTGTGTGTGTGTGTGTGTGTGTGTGTGTGTGTGTGCCTGCCTGCGTGTTACAATGTGCATGTGGAGGTCAGAGGACAACCTGTAGGAATCAACTCTTTCCTTTCACCATTTGGGTCTACAGGGCTTGAACTCAGGTTGTCAGGCTTGGTGGCAAGTGCCTCTATACACTGAGTCACCTTACTGACCCATCTTTTTTCTTTTTGAGTCAGGGGATCATGTACTTGGCAATAGCCTTGAACTCTGGGACCTACTGCCACCCCTTCCTGAGTGCTGAAAATTATAGGCAGAAGCCACCACACCCAGCTCCCAGTGCTATTTTTAAATTGTTTCATTGAGGAAAATGTCACATATATAAAAGTGGGAGGGGCTGGAGAGATGGCTCAGCGGTTAAGAACACTGGTTGTTCTTGCAGAAGCCCCAGGTACAAATCTCAGCACCTACAGAGCAGCTAACAACTGTCTGTAACTCCAGCCTCAGGGGATCTGACAGCCTCTTCTTACCTCCATGGGCATTGCACGACACAGGTGCACTTACCTACACGCAGGCAATACATGCATACACATAAAAATAATAAATAAATTTTTTTTTTAAAAAGTGGGAAAACCCAAAACGATGACAGCTGTCAGTGCAGTGAATTTCCCAGGGGCCCATCACCTCAACTTGACACTGATCAATCATGCTTCATTTTTTTCTTTTGTATCCCATCTATTTTCTTTCTGAATTATTATGAAAGCTCCCAGAAATGATGTCATTTCATTCATAAAACACCCTAGCATTAATTTCTTTCTGAGGTGGTAGTCTGAAACAGTGCCTCATATAGCTGTCCTTGAATTTCTAATCCTGCCTCTACCTTCCAAATTCTAGAATTACAGGTGTGGATTACCTCACCCGACGTTCCAGCACTAATTTCTAAAAGATGAAGGCGTCTTACACAAATAGTACCTCCCCAAAACATTAAATCTGAAAAGTTAGTGTGTGTGTGTGTGTGTGTGTGTGTGTGTGTGTTGCTGGGAATTTAATTCAGGACCTTGTAAATGCTAGGCAGGTGTCCTACCATTGAGACATATCCCTAGCCCTTTTTAATTTTATTTTGAGATGGAATCTTGTTAAGTTGTTCAGGCTGGCTTCAAACTTGTGATCCTCCTCCTCCTCCTCCCCATCCTGAGTAGCTGGGATTAAAGGTATATATCACCATACCAGACTAAAAATTATAATTTTTTTTTGTTTGGTCTTTTTGAGACAAGGTCTCCCTATGGCTCCAGCTGTCCTGGAATTCACTATGTAGACCAGGCTGGCCTTGAACTCACAGAGATCCACCTACCTCTGCCTCCCAAGTGCTGGGATTAAAGGCATGCACCACCACGCCCGGCAAAATTATAATTTTTAAAGATATCAACAAATAGCTAATCATTTCAGATTTCTCCTACTATCTCATTGTTTGTTAATGGTATCATTTATTTCAATAGTTTCTTGATGTTATTGGCATTGCTGTTTGTAAGTTTTAGAATTTTGTTTTGGTTTTGAGACACTGGCCCTGACTGGCCTGAAACTCTCTATGTAGACCAGTTG